TTAAGTGGCGTGGCAGGCACCTCAGCCCTGACCTCATGACACCAAATCCCACCTGCCTTTCCTCCATGCTCCTCTGCCCTTTGACTCTCCAGACTCGCCCCCGTGCCGATATAGATGGTGACACTTGAGATGAGCTTTGCTCCCTAGAAGCCTTCCATCTGGGTGTGTCATTTGGTGGCCAGTTGCCACATTTTGAGTGCACTGTACCCCTGTGGAGTGGTTGGTTATTTATTGGCTGACAGCAGCCCTATCTGACTGAAGGCAAAGCAGGTCCGTACATGGTCAGCTACACAGGCCCTCCTCCCTGGAAGCCTCCGGCAGGAAAGTTTCCCAGAGTTGAGGATTTAAGCTGGTTAGGTTTGTGCTGTTGGGGGTAGAGGGGTTGTCATTCAGCTTCAGTACTTCAGAAGTTCCGTCATTCCATCCATTTCTGTTTGTTTTTACCCACTCTGCTCCCCTAAGATTAAAAAAAATTTCACTCAAAGCATTTAAAGCAATTGGGGTCTCAGTTAATATTCTCAATTCCTTTTTAATTGCTAGCCATTCTTTATTAATTAACAAGATCTCTGATCTAGACATGCAGTAATCCCAACCCTCCTCTCTCTCTCTCCAGCAATTCTAGTCCCCTCTCTTGCCTTGTGGTTCTATTAAATCCATCCCCCCACCCCTCCAGTTTAACCTCTCCATCTCTGAGGATCCCTGGAGTACACCTAGAGGTACATGTTCAACGAGAAACTGAACTTAATTATTAGCCAGACATAGGGAAAACACCTGGAGTGGGAGTGACAAAATGTGTGTGCATGGCCCAGTTTATCTTTAACCGGTTGTGAGGTGGTGGGCGGGTGATTTCACCTCCATGGGTTCATTACACGCAGCTCAGAACCCCTGGTGCTCCTCCCCAACCCCTTGTGTTCCCCTAGTACATTCCATCCCCTAAAGCCCTTGGTGACAAATCAGAGACACAGATGTCTTAAGAACCACAGGTGAAAGGCGCACCAACACAGAGTTTGCTCAAGGCTATCAGGAGCTGCAGGTAGACAAGTTCATCCTTAAGCCTCCTGGTCTGGAAGTGCTAGTAAAAAAATTACTTTTGTAACTATTTCCTTAAAAAGACTTCAAAGCCCTTTATTAACCCAAACAGTAGCTGAGCTGACAGGGACAGAACAGGAACACCCCTTGAAATGTGGGTGGCATGTGCTTCCTAGTGGCTCTCAGCAGAGAAGCCGCTCCATCCCCCCCAAACCACCGTGGACAGGTAGGTGAGCGTCAGTCCAGACCTGATCAGGCTGCTGTGGCCAAGAGGAGGACGGGATGGGTCCAGCCACAAAGCCAGGGGTCACGTACCAGGGCTGGGGGGAGGAGGGCACCCTGCAGCAGACATGTGGTCTGAGCAATGTCTGTAGGCAGCAGGGCGCCAAGAGAAAAGGCAGGGTCACCGAGCAGGCAGGAGAGCAAGCTCGGCTGGGGGAGCAGTGCAGAGACATTCAGAGGGCCCAGGGAAGCCAGAAGCACACGTGATAAGGGTGCTGGGAACAGCAGGTGGCAGTGACAGCAGGAAGGTTAGGCGAGTACTGGGGGCAGCAGGTTTGTAAGACCTGTGACTTAACAACTGAACAAGGACTAAATACAAAAAGGATCAGAAAAAAAATATATTAGGTACCCCATGCGCTAGATGCATGTATACACATATTTAAAAGAATATAGATATGTGAGGAAATGGGCAGAAATGAGCCACAGGTGATGATAATATGCACTGGTAACAGAACTCAGACACGGATCTAGACCAAGATGCAAAATGCCTGACACATAGTAGGTGCTCAGTAAATAATGTAGGTCCCTTTCTTCTACTGCTACCCCAAAGAAGGGACACCCATACCCCTCACCGCCCCAGTTTCCTAGAGAATGGGTTGATAGTAATGACCGTGAACCTTGTCTTCTCACCTGTTACTAGGCTGAAGTCTAATTGCTTAGTAAAGCTGTTCATTAGGTACCCCATGTGCTAGTTTTAATAATTCTTCTGACTGTAAATTTCAAAGATAAGACCTTATAAGGATACACTGTACCATCTGCAGAAATTCCGAATTTGAATGCAGCCCCTCTGTTGTCGTACCCAGTCCCTGACAGGTGCGTGTGCCCAGTCCAGGCAGGCACATGACTGGGGCCTTGGAGGCTCCTGGGCATATGGCATTTTAGGGGGCTTCTCAGGAAGAGCAGCGACACACACGCTCACTGAAGCGAGTCCCTAGACGCGCCCTTCCCGGTGGGGCCAAGGCGGGAGGATCTCACCCACGCCTGCCCACTGCTCCCGCGGAGAACTGGGTGCCCCGGCCCCGAGGAGCGCCCCGGCACTGCCCCGCAGAGTGCGGCTGAAGCCAGGGCTGCCGCTCGCCTGGGACCGGGGCGCCAGACCTCCCGTAGGCAGGGCGCTCTCCCCTGCGCACGATGACATCACGTGGCCGGGGCTGAGTCGCTCCATAAAAGCAGCCCGCGGGGAGCCAAGGACCCAAAGAACAGACGTGCTGGCCACGGCGCCCGAGCTGCGCGCCCGCGATCCCAGTGCGCGCCCCGCCGACCAGAGCGCCGCGAGCAGAGCTGAAGGAGCGCGGCCGCCGGCAGCCCGCGCCGCCCCGCAGGAGCCGCCGAAGATGCCCCACCGCAGCCTGCACGCGGCGGCCGTCCTCCTGCTGCTGCTCTTAAAGGAGCAGCCTTCCAGCCCAGCGCCACTCAACGGTAAAGTTTCTGCCTCTTCTTTCCTGCCGGTTCTGAGCTCTCGGCCACAGCTGGACAGAAGGATTCCCTGCGGGACTCTCTAACGATAAAATCATAATGGCGAAGATCATTTCGGAGAGGCCCAGAATATTATGTCTAGTACCCAACAGCACAGTTTTTAGAAGGGATACTCCGTGTTCCTTTGGAACGCACGGTCTGCTGTGGTTGGGGGAAGCACGTTGTCTTTGTATTAAAATATGTGTGTTCTTTGAGCACCCCCAGCTCTGGAGGGGTGCCCCGGAAACTTGCTAAATGAGGAGGAGAAAAGAAATGAGGGTTTAAAATACTGTGCCCCTTCCACGTGCAGATAGTAGAAAAGTGGCATTCTGAGCGGCATCATTACAGGGAGAGGTTCGCACTAGCCTAGCTGCAGAGCCCTCCCATGGTGGTGGGTGCTTTTCTTTGGAGGAGAGACTCTTTACCATTAAGTTTTACCTCCAAGTCAAAGGGATGATGTATCCCATCCTTAATCACTGTTTTTCTGCAGAAGAACTCTACTCTCCTGGAAGTATGTGTGTGTGCACTCAGAAGAGCATACACACCTTATTTCTGAGTATAATTAGGCCCTTAACCCCAAAGGCCTAGAGATGGAGGGTGCCCAGTGGGGTGGCAAGAGGCGGTGGGGGGACTAGAAGTGTAGGCTCAGGTCCAGCAGTGAGTTGCAGTGAGCGGCCGAGGTCAGGTTAGTTAATCATTTGGAACAAGATGAGAATGCCAAGTTGGCCTGCTCGCCAACAGCTGGGTAAGCACCTTTCTGGGGATAGATGGCGACTCTTGTGGAAACTTCCTTAATAGCTAACTGATGGTGGCCCCTTGCCCTTGATAGAGCTTGCCCCAAGTTGTAGAGTGACATTTATTGGTGCTATGATTCCTGGACCCAGGTCAGGTCGAAACATTTATAGAAGGGCCAAAAGTGACTGTAATGGCTAGAAATCAATCCTCCCTGGCTAGGTAGTCGTGGTGGGAAATTGGTCCTGCTCAGCAGCAGGAAAGTGCAGAGCCTCCTTTTCTTTCTCTCTTGGAGGCCATTGTGCCCCTGAGGCACGGCAGGAGGAAGCTGGGGGTTTAATGCATGTCAAGTCTGCTGCCTGGTGGCTATGCTTGATATTATCTGTCATGTAGTTGGGAGAAAGAGAAGGTAGGTGGGAGAAAGGACTGACACAAAAGTGAAAATTAATTTTTAAAACTGCAGATTTTGACATGTGTTCCCCCTCAAGAAAGCTGAACTCAGACCTGTAGCTTCATTACAAATCTCTCCTTAGTGCCAAGCTGCTCCAGGACAGAAAGGAACAGCCATTCCCTGGCTTCCTTTCTGAAAGCCTGTTACTCCCCTCACACTGGGGGCAGCCCCCCTCCTTTCTCCCTCCTCCCCACCCCCTTGCCCTCCTCGCCCTCTCCTTCCCCGACTTCCCGTCCCATTTCTCTGTGAGGGTGGGGAACATGCAGTAAAAATCCCATTTTCACCCCACACGGAGTCGCCCCTCTGCCTACCCCTATCATTCTAAGAACATAGTTTTTATTGCTACTCCTCATGCAGACTTCTTGGCTTTTTAACTGCTTCAGGGGACAAGGTCAAAGCAAAAATCACTGAGACGCAGAGTGTCAGTATTAACCCACGTTTGGGGGTGGAATGGGTTAAGCTGGATAATGGGGTCAGAGTGCAGTCTGCCCTCTGCCTGCAACATTTAAATTTCCAGTGGTTGACACCGGTGAATGTGTGGGAAAAGTGACTGGGTTTTGGGAAGGAGGGCGCATAATAAGGTGAAGTAAAGTGTCTTCCCAAGAAAACCGTGGAATTCTGAGTTGCTATGCAGGAACATTTCAGTTAATGTTAAGGGGAGCATTTCAATAAATTCTGCGGAGATTGCTCTGCCTGAACCTGATGTAGAGAGTTGGACAGTCTCGGGCTGCCGCAATGACAGTTACTCCCAGAAGGTTCTAGCACCCAGCCCCGAAAGCAGGCAAGGTCCTGAACCGCGACCCAGATCTTTGTAAATACCACCTCCCCAGGTATTGACACCAGAGTACCCAGGGCCTTCTCCCTGCACATTTTAGGGGGCTTCTCAGGAAGAGCAGCGACACACACGCTCACTGAAGCGAGTCCCTAGACGCGCCCTTCCCGGTGGGGCCAAGGCGGGAGGATCTCACCCACGCCTGCCCACTGCTCCCGCGGAGAACTGGGTGCCCCGGCCCCGAGGAGCGCCCCGGCACTGCCCCGCAGAGTGCGGCTGAAGCCAGGGCTGCCGCTCGCCTGGGACCGGGGCGCCAGACCTCCCGTAGGCAGGGCGCTCTCCCCTGCGCACGATGACATCACGTGGCCGGGGCTGAGTCGCTCCATAAAAGCAGCCCGCGGGGAGCCAAGGACCCAAAGAACAGACGTGCTGGCCACGGCGCCCGAGCTGCGCGCCCGCGATCCCAGTGCGCGCCCCGCCGACCAGAGCGCCGCGAGCAGAGCTGAAGGAGCGCGGCCGCCGGCAGCCCGCGCCGCCCCGCAGGAGCCGCCGAAGATGCCCCACCGCAGCCTGCACGCGGCGGCCGTCCTCCTGCTGCTGCTCTTAAAGGAGCAGCCTTCCAGCCCAGCGCCACTCAACGGTAAAGTTTCTGCCTCTTCTTTCCTGCCGGTTCTGAGCTCTCGGCCACAGCTGGACAGAAGGATTCCCTGCGGGACTCTCTAACGATAAAATCATAATGGCGAAGATCATTTCGGAGAGGCCCAGAATATTATGTCTAGTACCCAACAGCACAGTTTTTAGAAGGGATACTCCGTGTTCCTTTGGAACGCACGGTCTGCTGTGGTTGGGGGAAGCACGTTGTCTTTGTATTAAAATATGTGTGTTCTTTGAGCACCCCCAGCTCTGGAGGGGTGCCCCGGAAACTTGCTAAATGAGGAGGAGAAAAGAAATGAGGGTTTAAAATACTGTGCCCCTTCCACGTGCAGATAGTAGAAAAGTGGCATTCTGAGCGGCATCATTACAGGGAGAGGTTCGCACTAGCCTAGCTGCAGAGCCCTCCCATGGTGGTGGGTGCTTTTCTTTGGAGGAGAGACTCTTTACCATTAAGTTTTACCTCCAAGTCAAAGGGATGATGTATCCCATCCTTAATCACTGTTTTTCTGCAGAAGAACTCTACTCTCCTGGAAGTATGTGTGTGTGCACTCAGAAGAGCATACACACCTTATTTCTGAGTATAATTAGGCCCTTAACCCCAAAGGCCTAGAGATGGAGGGTGCCCAGTGGGGTGGCAAGAGGCGGTGGGGGGACTAGAAGTGTAGGCTCAGGTCCAGCAGTGAGTTGCAGTGAGCGGCCGAGGTCAGGTTAGTTAATCATTTGGAACAAGATGAGAATGCCAAGTTGGCCTGCTCGCCAACAGCTGGGTAAGCACCTTTCTGGGGATAGATGGCGACTCTTGTGGAAACTTCCTTAATAGCTAACTGATGGTGGCCCCTTGCCCTTGACAGAGCTTGCCCCAAGTTGTAGAGTGACATTTATTGGTGCTATGATTCCTGGACCCAGGTCAGGTCGAAACATTTATAGAAGGGCCAAAAGTGACTGTAATGGCTAGAAATCAATCCTCCCTGGCTAGGTAGTCGTGGTGGGAAATTGGTCCTGCTCAGCAGCAGGAAAGTGCAGAGCCTCCTTTTCTTTCTCTCTTGGAGGCCATTGTGCCCCTGAGGCACGGCAGGAGGAAGCTGGGGGTTTAATGCATGTCAAGTCTGCTGCCTGGTGGCTATGCTTGATATTATCTGTCATGTAGTTGGGAGAAAGAGAAGGTAGGTGGGAGAAAGGACTGACACAAAAGTGAAAATTAATTTTTAAAACTGCAGATTTTGACATGTGTTCCCCCTCAAGAAAGCTGAACTCAGACCTGTAGCTTCATTAGAAATCTCTCCTTAGTTCCAAGCTGCTCCAGGACAGAAAGGAACAGCCATTCCCTGGCTTCCTTTCTGAAAGCCTGTTACTCCCCTCACGCTGGGGCAGCCCCCCTCCTTTCTCCCTCCTCTCCACTCCCTTGCCCTCCTCACCCTCTCCTTCCCCGACTTCCCGTCCCATTTCTCTGTGAGGGTGGGGAACATGCAGTAAAAATCCCATTTTCACCCCACACGGAGTCACCCCTCTGCCTACCCCTATCATTCTAAGAACATAGTTTTTATTGCTACTCCTCATGCAGACTTCTTGGCTTTTTAACTGCTTCAGGGGACAAGGTCAAAGCAAAAATCACTGAGACGCAGAGTGTCAGTATTAACCCACGTTTGGGGGTGGAATGGGTTAAGCTGGATAATGGGGTCAGAGTGCAGTCTGCCCTCTGCCTGCAACATTTAAATTTCCAGTGGTTGACACCGGTGAATGTGTGGGAAAAGTGACTGGGTTTTGGGAAGGAGGGCGCATAATAAGGTGAAGTAAAGTGTCTTCCCAAGAAAACCGTGGAATTCTGAGTTGCTATGCAGGAACATTTCAGTTAATGTTAAGGGGAGCATTTCAATAAATTCTGCGGAGATTTCTCTGCCTGAACCTGATGTAGAGAGTTGGACAGTCTCGGGCTGCCGCAATGACAGTTACTCCCAGAAGGTTCTAGCACCCAGCCCCGAAAGCAGGCAAGGTCCTGAACCGCGACCCAGATCTTTGTAAATACCACCTCCCCAGGTATTGACACCAGAGTACCCAGGGCCTTCTCCCTGCCCAGTACAAACTGGGTCTGCAGGTTCTAGAGCATCCAGGGTGGCCTCCCAGTCTCCCAGAGAGAACAGATGACTTTCTCAGGGAGGGAACCGTTCCCCTCCTAGAAGGGCTTGCTCCTTCAGGAAGCCCCCAAGGTGTAGCCGCAGGGGCCTTGGCCTAGTCTGACTTGTGGGGTCAGTTTAGCCTTGTTAAAAGACTCCTGCCTAGAGGCAGGGGACCAGGAGGAGCCATTTCCAAATAGAGCGGAAGTGGGCACGCGCGCATGCATGCACACCCACACACAGGACACATATTTCTTTAGAAAGAATTCCTGAGATTGGTTCTGAGCTGACAATGAACCAGAAAGGGTCCTCACCTTCATGCGATGAACCCCCTAACTCAGACCACCCTCCCCTTCATTTTCCAGGGCTAGTTCTTCCCTCCCTCTAACTCCTGAGCCCCTCCAGATATGGCCATGTATACCCAAAGCTCCTAGTGTTAGGGACCAAGCAGGTCTGTTCAGAGAAAGGAGAGCAGGAAGTTCTGCTCTGGATGCTGTTGCTTTCAAAGATCAATTCCTGGTCCTCTGTCACCACCCGAGGTCTTAGGGTCCCAGATGTCCACTCTGTAATATCAGTTCCTGAGCTTTCCGGAGTATTATCCCTATGCTCATCTGCGGATGAGAGCTGCAGTCATAGGGAAGGCCTCAGCTGAGCAAGCTGTGGGGAGGCTAGCAGAAGATGCAGGATATTCAGGCTGTGATCTGATTGTGGGGCAGATGCAATTAAAACTTTTGTCCAAGGCAAGATTGCTCAGAGGCAGCTGATGTGTTTCCTCATGCTTCTGAATGTCCTCATCTAATTGCTAATTCGGGGTGCTTCATAGTGGGACCGTTAACCCTCATGGAGTCCACAGCAGGTTTCAGGGCTTCTGCAGACCTCCTGAGGTTAATTATACGGGAACTTTTGTGTGGCTGAACTTGTGGGCATTTCTATGGGAAAGAGGTCCATAGTAGTCATCAGATATTCTGAGGGGTCTGGACTCCCCTCCTGAGGATTGAGAAGGAGATTTAAAGATCCCCCAAGTTCACAGAAAATAATGAATGGTAAAGGTGAAGAGACACTGAAGCAGGCAGTGATCTTCCACTCCACCCCAGTGGGCTTTCATTTCCTCACCTATGAAGCAGCTGATGGGTTGTAGATGTGTGACAGAGACCCCGATCCTCTCTTCCAGGTGGGCTATCAGTAAATAATGCCGAAACCTTAACTAATCATGAAGGAGCAATATATAGGAACGTTTTATAGAGGTGTGGAGAGAATACAAAAGAATTGCTTTAAAAGGATTCAAAGTAGTTGCCCTGGGGAGCAGGAAAATGGCTAGGGGGTGTCACGGGACTGTTATTTTTAGTAAAAAAAAAAAAATGACCTTGTAGAACCATCTGACTCTTTAAACCACATACAGATTCATTCAATAAAATTACCCAATTAATTTTGAAAACTAAAAACAAAATTAACTAAAAACAATGAGGCAAAGAAATGAAACAGAGCAATAACAAAAAAGTACAAGCTTAAACCAGCTGAAAAAAACCAAAATCCTCTTTCAGCTTTTACAAATCACTTTTGGCTTGAGTAGGAAATGCTCAGTTATGACGTGACCAGATTGCTCATCAGTTAAGTTTCACTGCAAATCGATTCCCAAGGGAGAAAGAGGACGTGAGAGTCTCCCTCCTCCGGCTGTGGGCGCGGAGGCACTGGGGGACCCTAGGAGGGAGGGATTGGGAGTTAAACAGTCCTCTCACTGTGGTGTGTCCCCAGAGACACCCTAAGTCTCCATTCAGGGTCCCTGCCTCTGGATGGGTAGAAGGAGCTGTCGGGGTGGGTAATGGGAGTGCAGCTCTGCAATGACTTTTGAAAAATGTGTTTTGATGTAGGAACGAAGGACTTTTCTGTGTCAGGGGTGTGGAGTGGGAGGTGGTAGGTGACTTTCTTTATATTCTTGGCAGAACTTCTCTTACACACTCCTACCACCCCTGGAATTCTAACGGAGGTGAGCGTGGCAGCTTCCTCAAAGAAAAGCTTTCCTTTTGAGAGTGGTCTTCTCCTCTCTGGGAACTGCTGATATGAACTATTCTCCAGGATATGCGGTTAAGTAGAAAAACGCCAGGTGTATAAGTGTTTCTAGGATGCCACCATTTGTGTGCAAAAAGAATACAAGTGCATATGTGTGTGTATTAATGCTGCAGAAGGGCTCACATCAGCTGATAAAACTGCTCGTCTCTGATGAAGGCAGGGGGAGCGGTGGGAGCGAGAGCTTTCACTGTGACCCTCTGGCAGCTTTTAGGTTTAGAGCCTTGTGAATTCACTACCTATTGGAGTAAACTTGGCCTGAGATGCCTGGGAGGCTTCCAGTGAAGAAGCCCCTCCTTCTCCCTCCTCTGTAGGCGCCTGCACGGACTCTTCTCGGCCTCGTGCTTCCCTCTGGAGCACAGTTGCTCCGAGAAGCAGTTTCTCTGATGCAGACTCTGAAAAAGTTTCAGTTCTGGGCATTCACCTCCCTTTCTCACCCATTTCAAAATCAAATCGGTAGTGTTTTCTCCAATCGGTTCAAGCGCAGTCGTACTTACTTGCTTTGTTTTGTTCTTTGCAGGATCCAAGTGGACCTACTTTGGTAAGTAGAGACCTTAAATACTTTTTTGAGGAGATGGCTGTGTTTCACCAGAAAGCCACATGATCTGTGGAGATTATTGTGGGGGGGGGGGGGGGGGGGGGCGGGTGTTGAGAAGAATGGTTATTGTGGAAAAGAAAGAGTACAAAGGCTTCTCTAAAGAGCACAGGCTGCCCACAGCACTTTCTTGCAGCAGATGATCCCGCTTCATGCACTGGAACTGAGTCATAGTGTGAAGGCTCCCAGCTTCCTCCAAGGAATTCAACCAAACCTCCCAGGTGAAGATGCCCAGGTCACCTCTAGACTGCAAGGGCCTTGGGCAGGAGAGAGCCTTTCTCCTTGGCGTGACATTTATCCTACAATAAACAAAGAATAATGGGCTTCTTTCTGAAAATTTGGCTCAGGCCCCAGAATTTAAGCTGTCAGTGTGTCTAGAATTAACTTCTTATTGCCATGTTTGTAAGCAAGCAATGAATGAACTGGTGAATGGTCAGTCCTTAGTGAAAGAGGGGTGCCTGTCTTAATAGGGAGAGAGAGGGTTATCAAGTGTATGACAGGGTTTCCATGGGAGTGGGTCAAGAATGACATCAGCCATTTCTGGCAGGCCTGCAAGGTAAGTAGCTCCAAATCAGCTTGGTGTGTTGCAGTGAACTGGGACTTTGGTCCTTAACTGGAGTGGGAATGGACAGCCAACCACCCAGGTCCACTGGGAAGTGCAGGGATGTTATTAATAAGGTCTTGTTAAGGACAGATCACAAGGAATGTGCAAGATAGATTGTTATGGTGAGTAGGAGAGTGGAACTGGCTTCATTGGCACAGGAGGGGTGGCGACAGGCAGGGAAGTTGATTACTATAGTGGAAACAGAATCCAGAGAAACATCTCACAAAGATTTGTAAAAGTTAGCCTTTGGGTATTTGTTAGCCCAGGAAGCCTAAAAAAAGTCACTGAACTAGTCAATCAGCTACCTATAGGCCAAGGTCTCCTGGCTCTAGCATTGCACTAAGATTCCTTATGTACTTACTATATCCAAGACGTGTTGCTAAGTGGGTGGGTAATTAGGAGGGTAGGATGTGGTCTGTAGCTGGGAATTACTTAAAGCTCACAATTCAAAGCAGAATAGATAATAATAACATAATAAGCAAGTGATTCAGTGCTCTGATGGTTCAGAGTAAGATGAGAGTGCTAGGGCTGGATGGTCAAGGAAGACTTCCTGGAGGAGGAAGCCTTTCACCTGGAACTTGGGAGATGGGAAGGACTCATTGTGGCAGGGAGGAAGTGCTGTGGACCAAGGTGGATGGTATCATAGGAGCAGAGGCAAGAAAGAGCAAGATGGTGTTTGAGGGAAAATATGTAGAAGAGTTACAGGGGAGTGTTGGACTCTATGGTCAGAAAGACAGGTTGGGTCAAACAGGGGAGACAGGAGAGCGGGCCAGGCCCTTCCCACTTTATCCGGCTTTTTTACGTGGAGGAGCAGGGAGCCATCTGTGTTTTAGGGAGAGTAACATGGTGGTAGGAAGTAGAGGGGGGAGGGATGGGAAGGGAGGCAGGAAGGTGTTTGACCTTTGTAGAAATCTCCTTCTGTGTCTCAACGCCCCGTCTCCCATGACCACAGTAGCAAGAGGGCAGGAAAGGGAAGGGCAAGGGGCAAAATGCAGGCCTCAGGGCTCCTCGGGCAGCATCAGTGTGCAGGGTGGCAGAAGCAGTGCCGGCATGAAAGAGGGGGGACTCGGCCTCTGGGCCTGACTCCACGGCACCCTGAGTGAGCCCTTGGACCTCTCTGGGTCTCGCTGCCTCTCCATCCGTAACCTGGGGAGGGGGCTGTCTAGACCAGTGATCCTCACACTGGGGCTTGGGGTCACCTACATCAGCATCACCTGGAATGCTCCCCAAATACTGAGATTTCCGGGCCTTGGCCTGGACCCGGGATATCTGAAAAACTTGTCTATTTCACGCACTTCCCAAGTGATTCTTACCCACACTCGCTTAGAGAAACACTGACCAGCTGGTTCCCAAGTGACTTCAAGCCTGAGTCAGGAGTGACTTAGCCGCCTCACCTACAGGCCAGGTAAGGCGGAAAAACAAATCGAGTCTCACCAGATTCCCTGCCTCTGTGTGACACCCCTCCTGGGCAGAGTGAGATGGTCACAGGGAACAGAGAGACCCTGTGTCAAGGCACGGTTCGAAAATCCTAGTGCCATGTGGCATGCTGTTCCCCAAGGGAGGGCTTCCCTGTCCGGCCATATTGACCAGTCCAGAGAAAGCATTTCTTCCTGACTGCTAGCCCAAGCCAGCCCTCCAGCCCTCCCACCCTGCATAATTCCAGCAGCTTTTTGCTGAGGAAGCAGAGGGCAGTCTAGTGATGCATGAAATGCATGGAGTGAGCACAGAGGCACATCTGGCATTTTATGAGTGGAACGAGCACACATGATGTGGGGTCAGAGGACAGCTGAGGAGGCAAACAGGTCCAGGCTGGCAGCCGGCACCCATGTTCAGAGTCACACACATGAACAGAGGGCCTGGCACAGGTGCCTGTGGGTAGTGGTTGGTTTCCAAACAGTCAGGACTGCACTGCCCTGGACAAGTCTGACCGAACACCACGGCTGGTCCCAGGGCGCAGACCTCAGCTACTTTGCACGGAGATGCTGCTGAGTCATCCCACTCCCGCGCCTCCTGCTGCCTGGGCCCCACGAGAGGAATTCTAGAAGCACGCAGAAAGAGAGCTCTATCCCCATTCCCCTCCACGATGAGTCACCAGGCCACCTCCCAGATGGACCCCTGGAGACAGAACCATCTGACAGCCATGGTGGGACACCTCTACCCCTGGCGTTCTTCCTCCATGGCTGAAGCTGCCGCTGGATGTGTGCTGCGTTTAGAATTGCTGAGTAGTCCCTCCCTCCTGGAAATGGGTCCCAAATCAGTCCTGCAGCTCTTTCAGCTCCACCAACTCTGAACTGGAGGGCAGCTGCCCCTGAGGTTGCCCTGTGGGCTGAGGATAAAGCCCAACCTGCTAAGGCGAATCTGTGCCATTAGAACTCAGGATAGCAGGTGCCCTCGGCAGGCAGGTGATGGAAGGAGGCACGAGGGAGGTGCTGGTCATGTTTAGGCCCTTGGTCTGCAAAAATCCATCGAGCTGTTCATTTATGATACATGTACTTTTCTCATATTCAGTAAAAGAGTTAACAAATTCCAGCTGGCTGGAAAAGTCATTCTTACCCTGATAGTTTTTTTTAGCCCTCCCCCAAGGAAACCAAAAAAACCCGTCATGTATTCAAAACAACAGAGCAACCAGAAAGAATGACAGTATTGGAATGAATGACCTAAGAACGTGTCATGTGAGCAGAGAAAGGGTGCCATGCTCCCTCCCTGAGCACACCAGACATTGGTCTGATGCTCTCAGATGTGAGTTAGTTCAGAAATAGGCAAATACCACTGTTTTCCAGACATTCTGGAGAAGTTAACCTTCAAAGGAGATGGGGATAGACAGGGAACATGGAAGCCAAGCTTTCCTCCCTGGCTCAGGGCCCTGCGGGCATCCACCACCCCTCCATCTGGTGCGGGGATTCTGGAAGGATAGTGGCTTGGCCTGGGGTGGGGTGGGGTGGGGGGCAGGCAATAGACTACAGCCCTGGGAAGGCCCTTCTGCCCAGCTTTTCACCATGCCTGGACAGCCCTCAGCCGCTGGCAGGACCTGTGTGACCCAGGAACTGCCATTCTCTGCCCTGCCCGGCTCTCCTTTCTCCCAGACAGTAGCTTCTCTTTCTTAAGTCATTTACTCCATTGGGAATCAGGAAGGGATCCTCCACTGGGGCAAAGCTCCTTGGTTCTCCAGGCTCCCACCTCCACCCACCTTCTGTCCTAAACCTGCTGGGATATGAAGTGCTGTAAAGGAACTTCCCCTGGCTTGAAACATCCTCCCCAAGCCCTTCCCTAACTAGAACTGGACATGGAACCCCTGGAAGAAGACTAGGAAGAAAAGTTCTTTACTTCTTATTCTTTAGTAGGGATAAGCCCTGTGTGACCTCACACCCAAATGCGGTATGAAAAGCAGGGAAGTCAGGGCTAGAGGCAGAACGCAGGAGGGCAGTTGGGCAGCGTGTGCGATCACGAGGCCGATGCAGTCACGGATAGCTCCTGCCTTTGCCAAAGGGGAGAGGCAGAGGAAAGCCGAAGCGCCCGGCGCTTCTCCCGGCCCCAGCTGCCGTCCTAAGGATGGATGAGGAGAGGCACAAAGCGGTCTTAGGAGAGCAAGAAAAAGCCCAAACACGTTCTTCAGTTCATACGGGGAAACTAAATCCCTATTCCTGTGTCTTGGGGATTTCCCTGGAGGCCAGGAATCCAACCCGCTGTGACTTATTAAATCTGCGCCATAGTTCCAGTTACTTCTAATTGAAGTTGTGACATCCAGGGTGTGTGTGGATGTGGTGTGGTCCACCCACTTGTAATGATTTCTCATCTTTCCTGAGTTGCAGAACTGCGGTTTGCGTGTTCCAGTGAAGAGATATGGCTTTTACAATCCGAACAAAGGGCATTTCCTTCGTGAGAAAGAAAGGGATTGAGCAAAAAACACAAGGGCCTCACAGTCCGGAATGTTCTTTCTAGCCTTGTCCTTCAGACCAGGATGAAATCAGACCTCACCTCCTTGGTGCTTTTCTGGCCTCTAGGGACCCAATATCTGGTTCCATAGCCGTGGTCTCGTCAGCCAGGCAGTTGAAGCTGTTGGCAGGCAAGCAGGCAGTGTCCTCTGCCTCCCTGCCCACTAGGGACATTGGGGGTCTGTGCCACCAACACATACCTGAGCCTCAGGGCTGATCTTTTATTTAGGGCTGAGAGGTAGAGATAGAGGCCTGAACCTGGGAAGAAATCCGGAGCTTGGCTTCTGGGGCTCCCAGCGCCATGCAGGGACCCTCACCCACCTGGAGCAGTCAGGCCTTGGAACAGCAGGGTGGGAGCTGCCTGGCGAGAGCTGGCTCACAGGAGCTAGGAGCCGGTCGGTGCAGGTGCC